TGAAGTGAGACTGTGCGTGGCCGGCATTAAAATACTCCGCCAGCAATTCCCCCACAATGTATGCAAATCAAACTGTAACCTCTCGTCAGTCTCCCCAAAATAGCACAGATGTCACCAATGTGGTTAACCTTTCCAGCAAATCTTTGATACCTGCGCAAACAAAGCTGCTATCAAAAGGTCTAACCTTCTGCCCCGCTTTGGTAAAATTGATGAGGTTCAACTTTACCAACATTTGGACAACTTTGCCAGAACCTTGCATCTAAAAGAATATTTTCATGATCGAAGCAGCAGGCAACAAAATAAATTTTTAGATAAATCTTAGACTCCAGGTGAACAACGAGACAAATATCAAGACATGTACATTTCAGCCGTTCAATGTGATAAAATCAGGGAATATGAAAAGCACCGGCCCATTCGCGAGAATCTGTGCAAGGAGGAGCGAGAGGCTTTGCGCGGTTTAAGTGACAGCCAGAGCATCATTATCAAATCAGCTAAGAGTGGTGCTGTGGTTGTACTCTACAGGACTGACTACATTAAAGAAGGGCTTAGCCAACCGGCAGATGAAAATTTCTATAAAGAACTCTCTTGTGATCTGACAGAGGAATATGAAAGTACAATTAAGGCTTTTCTAATATCATTACGTAAGAGTTGTAAGAAAACATATCCTATGCTTAAAAATGATGTCACCTGGCAACTCGTCTTTTGGGTGCTTCTATTTACTACCTAAAACTCACAAGATTAAGAATCCCGGCCAACCTATAGTTTCCAGCAACGTCACTGCTACTGAAAAAATCTCTAGTTTCATTGACTCTCGCATTAAGCACATCCCACAATTATTCCCATCATACATTAAAGATACTAGCCACTTCTTTCGAGAAGTCTTAAAACTTGTAGTACCTCTAAAATGCTATTTGGTCACCATGGATGTTTCATCACTGTACACAAACATTCCCCACACCGAAGGAATCGCCGCCTATGGAAAAAAGTGAATGAGTGAGTTCGACGAAAGCGTTTTAGAGGTGCTCCTAAATCTTGTACTTAAACATAATAACTTTGATTTTGACCAAAAACATTTGATTTTGACCAAAAACATTACCTACAAGTGAACGGAACTTCCATGGGACCCAAAATTGTCTTAAATGATGTAAATATTTTCATGGCCTCTTTGGAGGTTCTTTTCCTCGAAAATTTTCCATTCAAACCGATATTCTACCGACGCTTCCTCGATATATTCTTCGTGTGGGCTGATGGGGAGCATAATCTTTCCAAATTAATTTTCAATTTCAACTCCCTGCATCGTTCGATAACATTCACGCACACGTATTAGCAGAAGAGTGTTCACTTCCTGGTTGTCACTGTATGACTCAGTGGCACCACCTATCTACTTCCCTGTATAAAAAACCAACCGAGCGCCAACAGTATCTGCATTCCCACAGCAGCCACCCCCATCACTGCAAAACAGGTGTTTCTTACTCTCAAGCCCACAGATACAGAAGAATTCGCTCTGAAATTACGGAATTCGACACCCACGCACAGGAATTGAGAGCAGCCTTCTTGGGTCAAAAGTACACCGAAAAAAAGATTGTCAATGCAATTGAGTGTTGTTGAAGCGCAAACATAAACTGCGTTCCATTTGCGCTTCAACAACCACAGGGCACACGTAAAGTGTCTCCGCAATTTGCCGTTCTCCAAACATATCAACCTCCCTGGCCTCTCTTTCGAACGCGTAAGTGTCATACGGCTACAATCCGGTTTCCAGAACACGAGAGCGCGAGCAGCGGGAGTCTTACTTGATAAAGAAATTCTGATCCTTTACCCACGGAATCAATGAGAGCCCTGGGCAACTGATGTGCCTCTGCGAAGTTTCGTGAAACACAGAAAGCGAATTACTCAATTTATTTATGCATACGTGAAGTCGCACACATAGGATGGACAATCTAGTGCATGAAAATAAATAAATTCGACGCTACGTGCATCAACCGGCACGTGTTAGCATTATTAGATTTTATCGTTGTTTTTTGGGTATTTTTTATTATTTTATTTATGTTTTTGTTTGTTCATCTCTTGAAGAATATCCATTAATTTATATTGAGTATGACTGGTTATACACGTTTCTGTAAGAAAGGGCAGATGGAGGGAGAGGGCAGATTTAGCTTTGCATCTTGGCCAATGTTTTCCTGAAGCTGGAGCAGGTCGTATGTTTCTTGTTTGTGTGTGTGTGGCCCGACAGCACGGGCCAGCTGCCGACCCACGTGAACTTTAACTCAATCAATGTGTGGGATGCGAGTATATATATGTTTCACTTTTTGCCTTTTCTTTGGTCGCCTTCTCTGGTGGTGTCTTTATCTACCTTTAGTTACAATTACCCACCCGCTTCCAGCGGCTCTCCGTCGCTCCTTTATTTTTCTTATTCTTTTTCTCCTTCTTCTTCTTGTCTGTCGCTTGTCTCGTTAGCCGATTTGTCTTGTTTTTTTTTGTTGTTTTTTTTCTTTTCGTTTTGGGGGCCTCCAAACAGTGAGGGTGGCCCTCGGCTACGGGAACTTGTATCATTTCGCTTAGATCCTCCGAAGAAGGCTGGTCCACCAGCCGAAACTGTTAGGAATAAATAAATTATTGTTTTGTTTCCTATACTGCACTATTCTCGAAGCTCGAAGTTTATAATTTTTATTACGGTAGTCAGAAGAAACCCTGATCATATATTTCATCTATAATATATATATATATATATATATATATATATATACTTCAGCTCCCCTACTGTCAGGAGAGCTGTAGCTTACCACTACCCGTGTGGGCAGGGTTTCACGGTGTTTTTCCCTAGCACCTAGCATAAATTGACTGCTTCAAGGAAGCTAATGAAAAGGCAGCACCCAAGACAGTGGCTGCAGGCAGAGTGGTTAGGGTGGCTCCAGCTGAGGCTGAAATTGTCTCTTAAAAGTGCATCGTCTGGTCTGTCTCGACAGAGCTGCTGATACGCGAAACAGTCGGGCAGAACAAACCACACACGTTTCGACACACAAGTGATGCCAGTAACTAGTGATACGACTGTGAAACTGAATGCATGATTGCTTAACCCGTTAGGGCTCTTCCTTTTTATCGTATTTTCATCTGTGTAAATCACACTGAAAGTTTCATCATGAAGGAGCTTTTAGTTTACAAAACATTGACCATATGTTCATGCTGGGTCCTTAGGCTACAGCAAAAATGACAGTGACAAATTTTATTTCAGACTTTGACACATCGCGAAAAGTAAGATTAGGGATTTGTTTGGCACTCATTGTGAAATGTGAAGCGCGCAATGCACATGCCGACGTCGCATTTACTGCACTATGTGGGCACCGTGTTATTACAGTGATCTCCAGCACACTTGCATCTTTTGTTGTTAGGCAGAGTGCCAACGAAGTGGACTGTTTTTTCATTCAACATGTCTACCACAAGGCACACTGTGAACAACCATTGATGTTCTTCGACATGCTGTTGCTTTAGGTTTGTTATCCGGTCTTTTCAGGTACCTTTGAGGGAGTTGTCTCCGGAATTCAAGTTGACTTACTTTGAATCATGTGCTGTGAATAGGCATGCATGTTTCTTATGGCTAAGATGATAAGTGAATGTCACTTACAACCATTTCCTGCGAGGAGCTGCAGCCCAGTAGGCACTTACGTTTGCATTCATCTGGTCAGTGCCTTTAAGTAATGGCATCAGGGCGAGACATTTTGATCTGCACAATTGAAGATAACTTCGCGTAAGAGTTTTATTTCCTGCACCTGAGCAGATATTTGATGATCCATTTCCTCGACCTTCATACTCTGCTTCATCTTCATCACAGTCATATCCACCAATGCGAGGGCCGTCGTCAAGCACCGTCTTAGCAGCTGCTCCAAGCTGCCTACTACTTAAATTTACTGCTATTGAGATGAACAGAATGCCAGAACTACTTCGCCTTTCATAATCATGTCATGACTTTGGGATTTGAAACGCCGGTAGTTAGTATACATTATACCTAGGTTGTCTATAAGACTACCAGAATCCTCGCATGCGAAATTGTCTCAGTTAGTGGTAGCCTCAGATAGCTCGCTGTAAATGGCTGACACATATTTATCATCATCTTTGAGTATTCTGGCTATTTCATTTAAGAACAACTTGGGCAAGCAACAAATTGCCACATGAGTGTAGCAGAATCACCATGCAAATGGAGTAAAATGAAGTTGCGAACTTAAGCAAAATATGGAGCCTAAAGGCCTGGAGTGACTGTATGGCAACAGGTAATCTAACATGCTTGCTCACAAGCAAAATCATTGGTTTATCCATTTGAAATTTTCACTTGAGATTGCATAGTACAGGTACTCGACAGGGACATGTGCATCACGCTATTGCAAAAAATACTACAAAAAAATTGGCTCGCACAATGGAGCTTTGCATGCCGAGGCGTTGAAAAGTATAACCACTATTTGGCGACTGTTTTAGCAGATCCCCAATAAACATAGAAAACTTTACCACATGGTCTCTCTAAGGAGTATTCTGAGCTATTGAAAGGCATATTGCTGTGATTCTGGCACAGTTTCAGAATCTTTATAAATTGAAAGACTTTGTCGGGCGGGATCTAATGGGTTTATTCAGCAAGCGGCACTGCTGAACTTTTAAGTTACCGTGACTAAATGTGACTTTGCCCGCCTTTGCGAGACCATCCCTAAGTTGCGTCAAATTAAGCACTTTACAAAGTATGCTTAGGAATAACAGATTCAAACAGGAAGGAGTCATTTTCCTCTGCGCATAGGACGTAATTACAAAGGAAGAAATGCACCGTAGATGTAACTCTGCTCTAAATTATAGTGGTGGTTATAGTTACGTCTGGACGTAATGACTGCAGTGGCTACAGTCATGTCTGGACATAACCCTAGCCACATCGATTTGTCGCTGGTTTTGCTTCCACCTAAAAGCTGAATAGACACTTTAGTTTGACTGTACACTTAAACTTTTGTCGCATTTGTGCCTTCATGCAGGAGGTCCCACCACAAGCCACAAAGGAACCTGCCGCAATTTCGGAAGGATTCATATGCATCCCATGCAACAGGCACTACCGCAATAAGTTTACATTATTGAGGCACAGGGAAACCTTGTACCATCTCAAGCGAAGTGGTGGTATCACAACAACTGGAATGAAATGCAGCCAGCGACAGGCGGCACTCTCTGCAGAAGTGGTACAGCAGCAAAACCAGAAGTGCAGTAAAACGAATAAAGCATCCAAAGCCTGCGACATAGCAAACTCACGCCGCAAGTGCTCTTTGGACTCTCGCCAACGTAAGCAGCGAAAAGACAAGAACGTTGCTGTTTCTAAAAATTGCCCATCTACGAAACGGAGCGTTTGCAGCACTGGTACTGCATTCCAGCCAAAGAAGTCATCAGTCCAAGGTAGCCAATCGAAAGGCGCGAATGTCCAGCATTCTTCAAGATGTGCCAAGCACACCTTTCAGAGAAATTTCAAACAGAGCTCTACACCCGTGCGAAGGCAACAATCTGGGCTACATTGTGCTGCATGTGAAGCCAAGTTTTTAACTCCTGGAGAATTAAGGCTTCATGAATGTCATTGCACTGTTTCCAGGCAGGCAAGCAAAAAATTCCCATATGGAAGTTCAATATCATCCAAGGTAGCCAAAGCAGAGGCAAGCAAAAAAATTCCATATGGAAGTTCAATATCATCTAAGGTAGCCAAAGCAGCGACTTCTAATCTTAAAAACTCTGAAGGTGCCACAGATGTGCAGAAGCAGCATAAAATTTCACCGCGAATCACTTGCCCACTATGCAAGAAGCCAATAAGCAAGCCCTACATGAAATATCACATGCACACGCATACTGGAGAAAAGCCCTTTGCATGCCATTTGTGTGATAAACATTTTGCCCACCGTAGTACTCTAAACGTTCACATTAAGCATCACTTGGGACTTCGAAGGTTCCGCTGCACCCACTGCCCCTTTCGGGCTGTGCGTCGCAGCATGCTGAATCGACATGAGCTTGCTGTTCATCGGAACAAGGCAGACCCAGAGCCTCTTGCTGCTGCTACAGCAGGCACCCTTGTATCGCAACAGTGTCGCAGTCGCCTTGATCGAACGAGGGCCCTTAAAAATGTAGTGTTTGTTTGCAAGAGAGAGTGCCCATCTATACCGAAACCCAACTTTATTTGTAGCTGTTGCTATTGCAGTAACAGGAAACGCCCCTTGGAACCAAGTCATCGGCAACAGAGCATCGGTGTGCAGCATTTCCACTGCTCCCAATGTGACTACAGGTCTTCACATAAGAGCCAGATGCAGCGGCACAGTAGCATTCACTTTGGGCTCAAATTTTACAGCTGTCCTTATTGCAGCTATCGTTGCAGCAATCAAGAAAACATGCGCAAACATATCCTTCACACTAAAAAGCATAATGGGAAGAAAATGTACCTTTGTAAGCAGTGCGCTTTTGCCTGCAACGAATTCAGAGTGTTCAGAAAGCATGTTGCAAATAAGCATCCAAAAGATGCAAGTAGTAGTAGTGATTTGCCTGCAAGTGGTGCTACAGCTCGAGATGTTCCACTGGCAGGGAGCTGCAATGCCAGAATACCATCCAATGAAAGGAAAATGTTAAAGACTTGCACAGACTTGCCAGAACCAGCAGTTTTTCCGACCATTTCAGGCCTACGTGAGCCTGACCTAGAGAACACTTCTGTGATGGCACATGCTATGCCTAGGCTAAATAGGTCAGAAAGTGGACTTCCTTGCACTGAAAGTGATGTACCTGCTGAGTCCGGAAGTGGTATATTGTTGCCAAGTGGCCTGGACGCAGAGTTCAGTGAACAGCTGAATGCACATTTGAATAATCAGGTGACTTTTTCTGCAATGGATACAACAGATATTGTGTATACATCTTGTTTAAATTCCACATAATCACCAAGTGGTTGGCTTGTTTGTGTGTTGATGTTAGCCTAAAATTATATTCTTCTAAATCACACATTTCAAAAGCGTATTTGAGTGCTGAAGCACAGAAGTAATGAAACAGCACAAAGCTCTGTCTGAATTGCTGATAGTGGCCCATAAAATGTGTGCTTAGAAGTTCACACTTTATACACTGATGACATTGAAATTGTGGATAGCCTGGGCTCGATATTTCCACTAATCAGTGCTCACATGATTTCATACCTGGATGTACTTTGCGTGTGAATAAAATCTGTGTTGCTAAGGTCACTTGGAAGTTCACACTACATACACTAATGACTATGAAATCGTTGATAGTCTGGGCTTGATATTTTTACTATTCAGTGCTCACATGATTTCATAACTGAATGTACTTTGCGTGTGAATAAAATCTGTGTTGCTAAGGTCACTTAAGTCTCCATAAACATCGCTCCATCTTTGCTGCAAAACAGCAGGTAATGTAACATAAGTAATACTTGTCCTCTCTAGATCCTATATGGAAAAAAAGACTAGTAGTTTCTTTTTTACTGCAAAAGCAATCTTTAGCACTGTAGTTTTCTCTCACTGGTGGTGTCCGTAACCACTGTGGCACAAAATAAAAAAGAAACTAAAATATCCAGGACAGAATCGAATTGGAACTGGGACTCTCTCTGTGGCAGCTACCACAGCACCATGCTGGTGCTTCGAACTCCTTTGCAGATCCTATGCAGGATTCATGTGTGGGAAAGAATCGTTTTGACATGTGAAATGGAGTGTTTTAGTGGTACAAAAAATAACATCATCATCGTCATCAGCCTAACTACACCACTACAGGACAAAGGCCTCTCCCATAGTCAACTCTGTCCTGTGCTTGCTGCTGCCAATTTATACCCGCAAACTACTTCATCTCATCTGCCCACCTAACCTTCTGTCTCCCCTTAACCCACTTGCCTTCTCTGGAAATCCAGTTAGTTGCCCTTAATGACCAGCGGTTATCCTGTCTACGCACTACATGCCCGGCCCATGTCTATTTCCTCTTCTTGATTTTAACTATGATATCTTTAACCCCCGTTTGTTCCCTAATCTACTCTGCTCTTTTCTTGTCTCTTAAGGTTACACCTACCATTTTTCTTTCCATTGGTCACTGCATCGTCCTCACTTTAAGCTGAACCCTCTTTGTAAGTCTCCAGGTTTCTGCTCCGTAGCTAAGTACCGGCAAGATACAGCTGTTATATACCTTCCTCTTGAGGGACAGTGGCAATTTACCTGTTATGATTTGAGAGTGCTTGCCAAATGTGCTCCACCCATTCTTATTCTTCTAGTTACTTCAATCTCGTGGTTCGACTCCGCGGTTATTACCTGCCCTAAGTAGACAGTCTTTTACAACTTGAAGTGGACTATTACCTATCTCGAAGCGCTGCTCTCTTCCGAGGTTGTTGTACATTACTTTTGTTTTCTGCAGATTAATTTTAAGACCCACCTTTCTGCTCTCATTGTCTGATTCTGTAATCATGAGTTGCAATTCGTCCCCTGAGTTACTCAGCAATGCAATGTCATCGGCGAAGCGCAGGTTAATAAGGTACTCTCCATTATTTCTTATCCCTAACTGTTCCCATTCTAGGCCTCTGAAAACCTCCTGTAAGCATGCGGTAAATAGCATTGGGGAGATTGTGTCCCCCTGCCTTACACCCTTCTTGATTGGTATTCTGTTGCTTTCTTTATGAAGCACTATGGTAGCAGTTGATCCCCTGTAGATTTCTTCTAGGATATTTATATATGCTTCATTGACGCCCGGATTCCGCAATGTCTGCATGACTGCTGATATTTCTACTGAATCAAACGCCTTCTCGTAATCTATGAAGGCTATATATAGTGGTTGGCTATATTCTGAGCATTTCTCTATAACATGATTGATAGTATCATCATCATCATCAGCCTGGCTACGTCCACTGCAGGACAAAGGCCTCTCCCATGTTCCGCCAGTTAACCCGGTCCTGTGCTTGCTGCTGCCAATTTATACCCGCAAACTTCTTAATTTCGTCTGCCCACCTAACCTTCTGTCTTCCCCCAATCCGCTTTCCTTCTCTGGGAATCCAGTTAGTTAAGTCGCGTAAATTCGCCACTTAAGTCACGCTGTGTTTTCTCTTGTTAGTTTTTTGTGTGCGCGTGTCATTCAAAGACGCAACCATGTTGAACATTGTTGTTACAACCACCCTGCCTCTTCTTCACATCACGCAGTCTTTCTTTTCTTTTATGGTTTTCAGATCGCCATTGTGCGCATATAATTTTGATTTGCTGTATTTCCTGATTTTCTGTACGATGTATACCCGCTCCTCTCTGTAATGCTTCGGCCTTGAGAGTAAATAAATGAAATGAAATGAAATGACTCTTAATGACCAGCGGTTATCCTGTCTACGTGCTACATGCCCGGCCCATGTCCATTTCCTCTTCTTTATTTCAACTATGATATCCTTAACCCCCCGTTTGTTCCCTAATCCACTCTGCTCTCTTCTTGTGTCTCAAGGTTACACCTACCATTTTTCTTTCCATTGCTCGCTGCGTCGCCCTCAATTTAAGCTGAACCGAGTATGGTCAACTGTTGAGCAGCCTGTTCGAAATCCTGCTTGTTCCTTTGGTTGATTGAACTCTAATGTTTTCTTAACTCTGTTAGCAATTACCTTTGTAAATAGCTTGTATACTACGGAGAGCAAGCTGATCGGCCTGTAATTCTTCAAGTCCTTATCATCTCCTTTCTTGTGTATTAAGATGATGTTGGCATTCTTCCAAGACTCTGGTACTCTTCCCTTCAGGAGAAACCTTGTAAACAGTGTGGCTAGTTTTTCTAACACAATCTGTCCTCCATCTTTCAGCAGATCTGTAGTTACCTGGTCCTCGCCAGCAGCTTTACCTCTTTGCATGCTCTCCAAGGCTTTTCTGACTCTATCATTACTGGTGGGGTGTCATTTAGGTTAAAAAATAACAACCAGGTGTCAAATAAGCTAATTTGCATATCGAGTGGGTTGTTTAGATCTTTCAACCCATTACAAAGGGCTCGGCTATAATTCATCTATAGCCACCGCATCAGCAAAGTGCACATATTCCTTACAGGTGTGTAGCAGGTAGCTCACTTCTGTGCAGAATACTAGAATAGAGAGTACTTCTCTGCTTCACAAAAATTATGGTTTATGGCACAGTGGATGCCATGCAAGTGTTCTCGTAGTAGTTGCTTCAAGAGTGTTTAAAAAAGGTTCTAGAAAGGCCACTCACTCCACCAGCTTTTACTGCGACTGTGCATTCCACGAAGGCCTGGTGTTTTTTTTTTATGGGCAAAGCTTCTTAAGGTGAAGGCTTGTCCGTTGGCGACCTCGGGGTGCACTGTATCCGTGATGATGAAGATGACGATGATCATGCACAATGACTGGCTTGTGCACTATATATGCGCTATATATGATGCATTTTGTACGACTGGAAACAACGACCAGGGTAATGCACACAGACCTCGTCTTTAGAAACTTCAGGCTAGATCCTATACCACAAAGCAGTAATAATGAAGGCAAAACAAAATTCACTACTCAATACAACATCATACCTTGTGTATACCTTTACACAGCCTTGTCAATGATTTACATGTGTGAGTGGTCAATGCCGCGGTTGATCTACGGTAACACTGAACAATCCCACTGCTCTGCCCACTTATCATTCACTTCGTGGATATGCCGTGTTTTTTTGTTGTTGTTGTTCGTGTTTCTTAAGAAGTACGTACCTAGACAGCTAAAAAAAAAAGTGGCTCATATTTCGAAACTATCTGGGGTGATAAGGTCTGCACCCAAGTAGTTACTGTAACCTTTCTTAGTGTTTATTGAATTACACGGAAAATAAATTACCTTGAGAAAACAACCCCTTGCAACAAGGGTATTGGAATAGTCCACCTTAGTGAATAAGTGGCTAGGGTGCTTGGCTTCTGCCCCGAAGGTGGCAGGTTCGATCTTGGTCGCATTCCGCTGGAGGCGAAATTGTAGCCCGTGTACTGTGTGATGTCTGTGCATGTTAAAGAACACCAGGCGGCCAAAATTTTTGGACACCTCAACTACAGCGTCTGTCATAATTGTATCATGGTTTTGGAACTTAAAACCGCACGTGTTATTATTACTATTAAATTTATTAGAATAATTTCAGACTGTGACTATTTGAGAAAAATAACCTTCCCATGTTGAATACTGCATGCTCACTTCTAAAGAAAAGTGAGTTGCAATGTTTATGTGAAGTCTATAAACTAAGACTTATTTGCCTTATTTGATACATGTGGGTGATTGTGTTTAAGCACTAAGTGTCCAGTCAACAGGGGGGGTTTGAATGGCATCGGTTACATGCAGCGCACTGCCATTGGCAACGGTAAAACAAAGCAATAACACATGAAAAAGTGCACAGAAAGTTGTCCAGTGAAGAGTATTGCAATACTCAATTAAGAGAGAGAAGATAATACAAGGGAGAAAGACTGACAACTATCGCTTCGATGCTGCACAAGTACCAAGGTGCATCGTGACAATGACTAACAGAACGAAGGAATGGCATTTAAACAGATGTACATATGGTGCTGTGTTCGTTGAAGAGGATAAGTGTGATCCTTTAGCATCAGGGGCTGTAAACATGGCAAGACTGGTGAAATATTTAAGAAGCCATTCCAATCTGTGAAACTATATGACCAGCACAGCTGCTCAGCACACAGCAGAGGGTCGACAGGGAAGTGGGAGCCTTAGCTGATGACACACCCTGCAACTACATTCAAAATGACTGTCCAGAAATTCCCTTTTGAATTGTGTACGTTCCTTTGAAGGATTAGTGACATGAATTTTAAATATTTTCAGGTTGTTGCTTCAACTAAGAACACTAGTGTCGAGAACTCTAAAAAGAGTGCCGTGGTGCTTGAGACGTCACTGAATATATCTTCAATACCGCTGCCTTAAAACAACAATTTTGGTTTTGAGAGGGTAGCTTCACAGTGGCGTGTCAAGAGGGGTCTGACGTCGCGGGAAGACTGCAACTCGTGACATATTTGCTATGGCGGCCGGTACTGTCAGTCGCACGTGGCCCACATAAACAACGATAGATGAATTACAGTCCAGATACCCTGACGGCAATTTCTACGATTTAGGCTGCACCCAGGTTGAAAATTTCTCAAACCCAGCGAACTGTGTTGACTTGCCTGTTCTGACAGCGACTGTGTTGACAGGGACTGTGTTATTGCAGTGGTGCTGGCTTTACAATACTGGGTGAAGAACTTTCAAATCGAATCAAAATATTTTATTGTGTTGTCTGGCTCTGGTGTGTGGAGAACATTGATAGTGCTCACCATGGAAATGAAAAATGTCCCTTTTAGGGTGCCTCAAAATCATGTCAGTTCTCCTTTAAAGTTTTCTATTTGAGCAGCTAGCATGTTTTTGCTACAACATGCATTGTCTTGTCCAGCTTGTTACATGCGCTTGAAATTTCATGCACGATCTCGAGGAGCCATATGAGCAGCGTGCTTTTCTTGGCTGCATCCCCTGTTTCATGATGTGTTTTGTGGGGCGTGCCCCATATCCTCAGTGTTTCATGCCTATGAACGACTTATTTTTTAGAGGTTAAGTGTTGTGAAGCAAGATTTGCCCAATGGCAATGACATATGAGTGTATAAGGGGTTCTTGCTCCCACACAGACGGAATGCCCTAGCCATATACAGGTTCACTGTAAAACAATAGTTTGCTTGCCTAAATCGATGCAACATGCTTATAGGCAAGGTATCCTTAATGTAATGACTGGAAACTATTGATAAGACATTCTTTTTCTGGCATTTTAACCCTTTGAGGGATAATAGAATGAATATGTCCCACCTTTTCTTCTTCAGTACAAGCTTTCTCCACCGCTTCGTGTTGCCATCAGCTCAACGCTTTTCCCCTACAGTATATCAGGACTCGTTAAGAAACCAAGAAAACATGTTTGGCATATTTGCTATGCATGATATTGGTGATACGTTGAGTTTAATTTTGCTTTGTGCTGTTAACCTTTTTTGTACAAGTGGTGTCACATAATGTGCAATATATCTAAAGTTCTAAATTTATGGTATTTTTCTGCTTTTCTAAATCTCGAGAGAAGTAGCTTTAGCATGCAACTATGAATTTTCTTTCAAAATTGGAGCAATATATCAACCCAAAATCATCTTGGAAGTACATTTGACAAAAGATGAAGTTATATCTTACTTAGCCTAACTATGCACTCACAGCTGTTTTCTTCAAGTTAGAAGGACATTAGTGCATAACAAAACAGCACTTTCTTAGGGAGAAGGGCCTGAAGTTATTTTTTATTCTTTCTTACCACTACGAGAGCTGTCGCAATTGAACCAAAAGCTGTGGCTAAAATGCTGCTGCTGAAATTGAAGGCTAAAGGAAAAGAATCACATAATTTATGCTTTAGATAGCCAGGAAGTGAAATGGAAGACAAATGCACAAGATCTATGAGGAAAGCTAATATCTCAGGCCAGAATTAGTTCACGAATCTGTTGTAGCAGTTGTAAATGCACTAACAGGATTCAATGCATTTAGTGACATCACGACGATGTGGCTTGTCGTGATTGATTTATATGTGGGTATTAACGTCCCAAAACCACCATATGATTATGAGTGACACCGTAGTGGAAGGCTCCGGAAATTTCGTCCACCTGGGGTTCTTTAACGTGCACCCAAATCTGAGCACATGGGCCTACAACATTTCCGCCTCCATCGGAAATGCAGCCGCCGCAGCCGGGATTCGATCCCGCGACCTGCGGGTCAGCAGCCGAGTACCTGAGCCACTAGACCACCGCGGCGGGGCACTTGTCATGATTCATGACAATTTTACATATGGGCAGATATTCAGGCATAACTGAGGTGTTCGTCCTTATCTACACCTAACAGAAAGACAGAAAGAAGCTAAAACGGTTGATGTATGCGAAGACCTGGGACAGAGCCACTGGGCTGGACACAACAGGCAGAGGCACATTTGTGCACCACACCTGGAAATAAAGCACCTCACAATTTTTTCTTTGCACAGTTTTTGAAGTGTGCCTCTGTACTGCTTAAATCAGGCCTTTTCGTTCTAGAAATTTTGCAAAAGGATTACAGCTTGGCGCTCTCGTGAGCCAATGGGACAGGTGTTGTCTTGCTTTTTCAAAGACACCTAATAGGTCGATGGGATAAATATGTCCCACTTTTTTCTTCTAAGCTAATTGTTATATTTTGGTGAAACTTGCTTCATACTATTTCTAAGCACGCTATTTAGGAATTCCTCAGGCATAATTTCAGTTATCACGTGAACAATATTGATGAGGCCGCAAAGAGTTAAGAAGTGGTGCCTCTGTAAACTTGGCAATCATTTCAAGCAGATCTACTTTATACAACCATTCAGCCATTTCAATGCTGAATATGAATTGAAAAAGAAAGACTACCGATTCGAATCCGAAATTCAGAGCACTCGCGACACTTTTGTATTGACGGTGGATTATTTTGTTTTTATTTGCATTCCTATACATTCACTCAGTGGATGATTAGTGTATAAGTTCTCCAGCTCCCCCTCCCCACCCCCACTTCATTGTTTTAGCATTACGTTTACGTAATACCAAATCACCAAATAAAAAAAAAGACGCAGTCACAAAAGAAGCAAACAGAGTTCCTAGGTTTTCTTTTAATCTTCTTTTTTTTTCGCTTGAGTGCACTATCACATGGCTGTTTCATGACTGTTGATCGCGAAGCCGTTTCGCGTTAGATTTCTCGTAGTTCTTCGCACGTTTTTCCAGCCGCTGAAAATGAGAGGCACACTTGTTTACGTCAGCAATTGAGCAGAAATTCTACGCGTAACCAGGCTCAATCAGTTTTATAGTTACCTCTTTCTTTAGACAGTGCGTCATTTCTACGTCAATATCATTGCAGGCCCCGAAGAACTTGGCCCATTTGTTCTGAAAAACACAAATTCGTAAAAAAAAAAAGACTAACACAGAAATAAACGCTCACCTCTTTGTAACACTGCATCATTAACGCTATAAGTTTGTTACATTCCTCGGAATGCAGGTGAGAGGACAGGTCTGTGTGCATGTCTGCTATTGCGTCTGAAAAAAAAAAAAAAAAAAAAGGTTTAGACCAACGTACAGAGCACACATTATCAAATGACAAACTTCGTTGCTAATTGGCGAAAGCTTGGTGTCATAATAGACACTTATGCGAACCTCGGCACGACGAGCGATCATCTGCAAGCAGTTGAACAAGTCGGGTTTTCTAGCAAACGATACTTCAGAACACCGCACAGCGCAGTTAGGCCGGCGCAAGGGCTACTTATGGTGGGTATGAGACGACGCAAAGCTATAATTTTCAAGAATCAACCACGAGAGAACTCGGTACTGTGCTGTTTCACCGGCTTCGTTCGGTTAGTTCCAACGTTAATAGATTAGTTCGGTCTCATCGTTCGTCTGCTCTGTTTGGCTGGCTAGGATGGCTGACTAGGCTTGGCTAATACAGTAGCTATGACACCTTTGACGTCCGTACGCTTTTCAGTACTAACTTTACAAAAAAGCTATTTTCTCAGGCCATTCATTCATTAAAAAAAAACTGCGTGTGACAACATGAATGGTGGATATAAATTTTTTTCTGGTACTTGCTATTGTTTGTGACGTTTGCTAAGCGTTTACAGCCAAAAGCACCTCCTTACAGACGCCTTTTTACCGCTGTTTTGTTTTGTAGAAGTTTAGGTGTAAAAATGTGCTGTACACGTGGAGAAAGTTTAAACAAAGCACGGCATTAAAAGTTTCGGGCCCAACATGGCTATGCGCGTGGTTGTAAATGGATTGGCTGCGGCTGCGTCGGCTGCTGGTACGGTATCTTCCATGGTATCTGGTCACCGTTGCCTGGTACCATGACCTACTACACTCCTGACCTGTTCAGATAGCGGGGTTCCTATGGGAGCGCGTGTCCCCGCTCTCGTTCAATCGCTCGCCGTAGGTGGCGCTACCTATAACCTGTTCGTCTGCTACTGTGCGGCCGGCAGGAGGGCGACGGACTGATACCATGCGTCTGCTTCTGTGACAAACTGCCTATACGTGTGATTGTTTTTTGCTGAAAAGGCTAACGTGTGCTATGTGTTACATTTTAGTAGTTAGGCTATACTGGTTGATTGACTTCTAAAGCTGTATATTTGCGTAGAAATGTCTTGCTGCATGGTTGTTTTTGCCATTCCAGCCTAAAAAAACTTCAATTAGTATTCATAAAGCTTTTGACTGATAATGTACTCATTGGTAATAGAATATCAAACTGATTTTAGGTTGTTTAGGACGCGTCAGGTGAAACGCAGTGCCCCTGTTGAGCACTTACCTTGGACACTCGCCCTGGACAGGTGTTACACTTGTAGTCAATTGATAGAAGAGAATAATGCACATACGCCCACGGACGCATATCAAGGAGAGACACAGGAATTGAAGCTTTAACTCTTACTGTGACCTACACAACAAAAATTGTGCGTCAAATTTCGCTACGGGAGTTTGTCTGCTGGAACGGGGAGCGCTGGCCGATGCGCGTTTCTATGATTTTATATGTCCGTGCGATGAGACGATATGGTAAAGGCAGTGATGTGCCTATCGAGGGCAACACATTGCGACCCCAATAAAGTTTTTATCGTCATCATTATCATCATCTTGTCGAGCATAGTTAATAATAATAATAATAATAATAATAATAATAATAATAATAATAATAATAATAATAATAATAATAATAATAATAATAATAATAATAATAATAATAATAATGTTTTATTTTTCATCAATAGTTTGATGAAGGACAGCGGCAGGTAAAAGCTGCTCTTCGAAAGAGGCAGCTTGACATAGGCCCACAGACGCCTTTAGCACGACAGCACTGGCAAACAGTTAGCAATGTTATCTAAGCAACAATTACAAAAATATCAAGTTCAAATTCTAAAAATAAAAATAGCAACCATGATAACAATGTAGCAACTGCAAAGAAATCTTGAAAACTATACATGTGTATATCGTGCAATTGAGTTCGGGTACAGAGTAAGAAATCTATGCCAGCTTTCACATATTTATCAATTAACGTAGAAACTGTGTAGAACAACCTATCTGTGGAGTAGTTTGTTCTCGAAGTTTTTATTTTCCATGTTTCTTTATGTCATGTTTCGAACAAATTATTTGGCTGCAGTTTCGAGAGGTCGTACAAATAATGTCGACTTTCTTGAAATTGACGCCTGACCACCAATGCTAACTTAAAATCGTAGAGACGATGTAGGGGTGGTATTCCAGCCTGTTGAAACAATTCACTTCTGCGAGCATCATACGACCAGTAAAAAATTATTCTAATATACGTCTTTTGCATCAGGTACAGTTTTTGTAAGCGCGTGTTAGTCGTAGTCCTTCATACCAAGAAACAATAAGCAAGATGCCAACAGAACAGTCATTTATAAAGTAAGAATTTTACCTTGTATAGTAGAACAGTTTTGCCACTGTACACCGTGCCCTCTACGCGAGATAACTGACCCAGCACACTGTAAATGCGATCGTTTCAAAGCATATTGCTCGAAAATGTAACTCCAAGAATTTTTATACAATTTACTAACTCAATAATAGTATCGCCATACTTGAAATGTATGTTTTCATTAACAGACTTATTTTTAGGGCGGAATAGTACCGCCTTTGTTGTACTAGTGGTTATGTTTGATTGATAGCGCCCAAGGGCGACACCCGCAGTTGGGGCGCGTACACATGCTGAAAATGTGCCATTATACTCGTTTGTCAATGAAAAGCAGATCCCTCAAAGTGATATCAAGGTTTCTGCTAAAAGAATTTGGCGAGTGTATGCGTGTGATTCGAGCAATGTTACAGCACTTCAAAATGAAACAAAACACATTTGTCGCTTTACTTATGCGTGCCACAATATGCCAGTTAAAGCTGATGTTTCAAACAAAGTTTCTGCACTTTCGAAGAATATCCTACTTGCTGGCACACAGTGACGGCTTGTGTCTGCAATAAAGAAAAACATATGTACGCGTACAGAGCTGCGTGCATTTGGGTCATAGTTCAATAAAATGTGCTAGCAAGGTTCTGGGCGCGTACATGATACAATGGAGGCATGCAACTAAACTTTTAAAATCTTGCGAGATTTTGGCTTTTCGGCTATTCTCTTTCTCTTTCCTTCTTTGGCTGTTTTGTCCCGCACGTAGTTTGAGAAGAAAGGACGGCTAAATTTTTGCAACACTAGCCGCGCCATGGCTTCTCGGTGCTCGCTAGTAGCGCCTTTATGGCTGAAAAGAGGGTTCAAGGCCACTGCAGGTAGCACAGTTTGCACAAAAAGTGCCATCGGCCTCTTTTTGGAAATGGCCAATGGCGCAAATGCTTCCGCGGCCCTTTCTAGAGTGCTCACAAAGGAAAGAAATGAGATCGTTGGGTATGAAAGCCCTCCCCTGTCTAAATTAAATATCACAGCAGTAGCTGGTCCAGATGAGCTGGGAGCCTTGATTTTGCCGATGCAGTCGTCGCAAGTAATGCAATCCTCAGCTGCTTTCACCAGGAAGCCCGCTATAAGGCCAAGCGTGCTGGCCCTTATGCCTGGCTGTGGGGCACCTGTGGGAAGGTAGAAATGAAAAGTGTGCAAGAATTTTATCAGTATATAGATAAGCATGCATGATTAAACCGACACGTGTCCGTATACAAAATATGAGAAATATATATATATATATATATATATATATATATATGTATATATATATATATATATATATATATATATATATATATATATATATATATATATATATATATATATGGATGTTAATGCGCTTTCAGATAACAACTGTTGCCCCACCGCGGTGGTCTAGTGGCTAAGGTACTCGGCTGCTGACCCGCAGGTCGCGGGACCGAATCCCGGCTTCGGCGGCTGCACTTTCGATGGAGGTGAAAATGCCGTAGGCCCGCGTTCTCAGATTTGGGCGCACGTTAAAGAACCCCAGGTGGTCGAAATTTCTGGAGCCCTTCACTACGGTGTCTCTCATAATAATATGGTGGTTTTGGAACGTTAAACCCCACATATCATCAAGATAACTGTTCATTCAGCCGACGTTTGCGTCGGGAGAGCCCCGTCTTTTTCAAGGTATAATAATATTTACACATTTTCCGCGTCGATTTATAGCTTGTCACGACAGGAGGGAAGAAGTCCGGAGAATAGTATAAACAACAACATAAAAAAAACTGAGGGAGAAACGTTTAAAAATAAAAAAAAATCTAGGAGAAGAAGCAAGAGAAAGACGACGGGATTAGGAAGGGACAGCATCTCAAGAGAGTAAGGCGAACGCAAACGAGCCATGCCATCATCTGTGTGCCAGTTATGACAGCGATTCAAAACCGCCGAAAATTTCTTCCCCGATTGCGGGAAAGGGACGTCGGTTAGTCGAGTTGTGTGGGCGCCTGGTGAAAGCATGTTATATTTTTAAATGTAAGCCATAGTACCTGCTTGTACCATGGACTTATCGTTACATACATACACAGTATAACTGATTGAGAAGCATGTTTTCATCTACATCGTGCACTGACGCAAACGCTGCCTCACGCGGCTTGCATGTAACACAGTAAGCAGCGCAGAGTTTATAATATATGCATAATATCGTATAGTGGGGAATTGTTGGACGGTGTGTAATAATTTTTAAATAATGTAAATCATTCCATTACACGGAATCAACGAGATATGAAAAGCGCACCACGGCAAGTCTGCAGGGCTTCTAGATGTGGCCGCATCGTCTGGGTTATAGTAGCAGATGTCGATGCCGCGCACTCGCCTGACGACCCTTGATTCTGGTTTACTAGCGAGTGCATTTCCAGAGGTTGTCCGGCTTGCTTTACTGCTGTGGAGCACGACGCCTGCCTTGCACTGGGCGATCCAAGAGGAGACGTTGTTTGCTCTGTACTGCCGCTTGGTGATGAGTGCATCATTCCCATCACGAGGACTTTCTGCAGTGATGAAAGCGCAGCACGGGCGTCTGTCTGATCGTTGCTTCCTTGAAGCTGTCTGATGGTGGAAAAAAGTGCTTCGACAGGGTCACTGGAGAATTTGGCAGTCAACACGTATAGGAAACCTGAACGGATGAGAAATTGTGTGCACTGTACTGTGGACATTGTGGTCAGTTGGAGAGCTTCGTATGTTTCAAGAGATATGAATGCCCTCTTATGTGGTGCCGCGGCTTTCCATGCTGCGAAAAAGGGCAGAAATTCCTGCTCCAGCCATATCAACCTGAAAATAAAGCAGTTTATTGTAGAAAATATGAAACCTAGCGGGATAAATGGAATGTACCTGTCATCATCTGGGGAACTGAACGGCATCCTGTTTTGGTCCCGGCTTACTACGTGGAAGGTTGTATTTCTTATGTTGTGTATGGTGAACCATTTAAATATCATTTCCATCAGCTCGATGGTTGGCAGGCAGTCTTCAAACCCGAAAATGCCAAATCTGCGGCCGTATTGTAAGAGGTATCGTAAGGCCGATGTCACCTAGAAACCAAGGAGACGCGACATATTAAAAATGATCGGAATTATTTAGAGAGAGGTTTCTAAGCTTGGACGTTCGTATACAGCAAGTGAGACGAGTTACAAGTGGCACTGCAGTCATCAATAACGTGCACTTTTAAGTGAGTTTGTGTTAGTGAACATATATTATAGAAGCTCTAATGATACGTAATTATTGTGTGGTAAGCAATACGCGCAGGTACATTCGTTAAGAAAGGGAAATTGTATGTTCAGATAACCATGCGCTGTTAGCAGCAGCAGTAGCAGCAGCTCATGTGCATGTTTTTATGTGACCATACTGATAAATATGTTAGCAGTTATATACGTATTGAATTACATTTTCACCATTTGCTTCCGTTTGGGTTCTACAAACAAATAAACCAGAAACTAACATGAATATTCACGTATCGTTTGCGGTGAATTACTATTAAAAGGCAGTTTTTGTACTGCTTCATTTGAACGAAAAGCTGCAAAATTTTTTCTGCTTCTGCATGAACATTCACTTGACGTAATATGATGTAAAATGAGTTGTGGCGTAATATTAGCGCATAAAAGTTTGCCCGAGCGCGCCAAAGAATTTGAGAAGTATAAACGTCACTACTGATAGAAAACTGCGAGCATGATTCTAGCTCAATTAGATGTATTTTTTTGTGTAATACAGGTTGCAGGAAGCATACATAATTTACAGCTAACGAAAAGGCATTTCCTGCATGACCTGTGTGCGTCACGCATTGTGATGTCTACAAGGAATACAGAGAATCTGGGAGTGTGTGACACTAACGCTAAATGGGTTTACACCTTTTCTTATACATGCCTGTGGAGAGAACACTTCAACGGCCCTCTTCACGCTTAATTTCTCGAAGTTCGTCGGGTAAACGTGCTTCTGCGTAAGGTTCCGAACAAGCTTGAACGACGACTGTTTTTCTGTTATGTCCAGCAACTTTCTCAAATACGTGGGGCTGTAGTAATGCCCATTGTTGAACAGAACGCGTTTGGTGGACAACATCTGGTTGCGGAGATTTTTCAGGATGTGGCAGTGGTCAAAAGAAAGGAAGAGCCTCCGATTCATATCCATTGGATGTCTGCAACAACAACAAAAAAAAATGAATAAATAAATTGGAGAAAGGCGGCGTTTGCGGTGTGAATAATTAGTTGCATATACGGTTTTTCTGTTTTTTACCAAAGTAATGTAAATGTTAGCCATTCGAAGGACGTGTGCGTTGTTAATTATTACCTTATTATAAAATTTCTCCACTCATGCCATGATCCTGCAGGTCTGTGTGTGTGTTTTATTGAGATTACCTACACCTTAAATCTTCCGAAACTTTAAGTATACTCACCCATTCATACAGTCGCATGCAGGTGCGCATACATTACGCAAACGCGTAACGTCAATTGATTTGTAAAGACGGGCTATTTACAGCGATTGTACTGTTGATAGCAATCTTGTTATGGACACGGCTTTCTTATATGGCAGCGCTGATTAAAAAAAAAGAAGGGGGGGGGGGGGGCTCTGATGCTGATACAGGCTTTTTTTTTTTGTGCGACCAAGTCTTTTGTTTTTTTTTTTTCACTCAAACACGGCATGCATGCGCGTGCATACATTGATTGATAGATATGTGGGGTTTAACGTCCCAAAACCACCATATGATTTTGAGAGACGCCGTAGTGGAGGGCTCCGGAAATTTCGACCACCTGGGGTTCTTTAACGTGCACCCAAATCTGAGAACGCGGGCCTACAACATTTCCGCCTCCATCGGAAAAGCAGCAGCCGCAGCTGGGATTCGATCCATGCATACATTGAGGGCACACTGCGAATACATATAAAAAAATATTTACACTAGGCATTGCGCACAGCTTAATGCGAGCTGAGAGCAAAAATATATACTTAGCAACTTACGGCACAACTGGCATCATACGACCATTCCCTAACATGGTGAACATCTTTTTGTTCGAAGCGTGGTTGTCAGCTACAAGTCGGACCACTTGGAATCCTGCTTCTTCGATGGACTTAATTACTTCAAGTGTTAGTTGATGCAGGTGGTCTCCTTTTACTGACTGCGTGAAATAATATCCCACGGGTAGCCTGAAAAAGATAAAAATTAGCAGTATTCTGTAGCGTCGGTGTCAGCTGGGCTTAAAATCTCACTCCGTTGGAGAGAGGAGGAGAGCCAATTGCTCATCTCGAGTGCTTGTCAAATAAGTGCACAATGCTAAAGTTGACTTGCCGGGGGAAAGGGGGGGGGGAGCCCTCCTTAAAAAATAGAAGACGACTCCCCCTGCCCCTCCCCAGACTTTCAGCCCTGGTCGCGGAATAGCACATCATTGGTTAATTAAAGACAACGTTTTCTTTTTATATCTATAGGTGGGGTTAGTCTTTCAGTCACAGCGAAACGTATAGTGATAGACAAAGTGATGATTCACTTACGTGTAGTGCGTTGATAAGCCTACAAATACAAAGGCGAGAAGGTGTGTGGCCAGCTCGTTCTGAATGCCCACTTCTTTTTCTAGGCCTCCCATTTCGACTAGGCCATGGACTTTGTCTCCTTTTTTTTCGTACGTCAGTGCTTGCTTTAAAGACATTTCATCCACAATCAAAGAGCCCATTTTTTCCTAACAAAAAAAATGGGGGGGGGGGGGAATTCACTGTTAACAGACATGCGTTATATATCGGCGGAGACAGTTAATTATATAAATAACCTTCTTTGTTGTTCCGTACATGACCCATAATTTAACAGAAATGATTAGGGTTTAGAGCAAACATAGCGCACTGCCGTATACTCTTAAACAATACATCTTACGTTCGAGTAATCCTTGCCACAGGTCTGGTCCCTGTTTATTCACTTTAAATCACTTTTCATTCGGCTATACTAGCATGTATTTTGATCAGTCAAACACTGCCGCGTGCGCTGCTTCCTTCGTTATTCGCGTGCATATTGTAAATAATTCTGATCGAAGTAACGTACCCGTTCGGACAAGTGTGTGCTTTCCGTGTGCAGCCTTTGCTTCATTAGCGACGAAACAACTGCTCCAGTACAGTAGCCAATGTAACGCTTCAGTGTCATGCGACTTGGAAGGGTGAGGCACCCAGACCTCCGCAACATTTCGTACCCGCAGGGTGATTTAGCTTGCCACATTATGGCCTGCCTGATGGTCACCTCTTTCCAACGGTGATTTTTCTCACGCAGGCATTGCAATTGCTCCTTCAAAATTCAGCCTTCTTGTCGTTCTCGTCCAGCATTTCCTGATGATGAAAGGGCAGTTGAAATGCGTAAATCACGCGCAAGATAACATACTGGAAGAAAGCGGAAGTGCAGGGGAGAATGGAAGCTTGACCCGCTGAAACATCGTAGAGCAGGGAATGCCGGCGCATCCAACAATTCGACATTTACGTACTGGACTTGCCCTTGTCAAGACAAGTTTAGATGTTGTGGGAGAGTGAGCAAACGTTCACACACACGCTACTAAAGGAGGCTGTTGCTGTCCTGACAAAGAATAGTGCACCTGATTGTCGAAACCTTGCATTTGGCATCATTCCTTATTCAACAATTCATAATCGCGAGAAAAGATATGCGTTTACTCTTAAGACAATAATAGATGTTTCATGTCACCACGTGGACATTCAATTGCAGCTATGCTACATTAATGAATTGCGCAACTTCAGACTTGCGTCATGTTCAGTAACCGGCCACCGACTCACACATACGGACTAGCGGAAACTGTTCACTTACACTTTCCAAACCATTCCTTCCTTTTTGAATGCAATGCTGCTCGCTCAAGTTTATAAGGCAGACATCACATGTGCGTCAAGCGTGGCTTCCTGTACGAGCATAAACCGATCGGCCCATAGCACCAACACAACACAGCTTGCAAATTACTGTCTTTCCAGTTGTCAGTCCAATGTCCCTAATTGTTTGCGACGACAGAAATTTGAACTCGTTGTTCGCAGGATAAAGGAATAAACTCGGGGTGCGCCAATCACGCAAGGGGGTACACACCGACCTTCGTATCTTAAACACTTGCTCATGTGCGCGCTTACCCACCAACCTTCTTTTATTCCGTGTCCTTATGTCAGGCCTACACCTTCGTATGACCAGAAAGATTGCCAGCATCGGCGTACACTAAAATGTCACGTAAATTTATATGAAGAAGAAAATCTATAAACAGAGTTTCTCTCGAGCAGACATCATGACAGCGGACTTGTCATCCTTAAGGCTATAATTGTATTTCAGTCTTTCAGAAAACAAGCCTGCTTGTCGAAACGCCGCCTCGAAACAACTTTGCTAAAACTACTGATTAAGCGAGTTGGTTCATGATTATTTTCAGTGTTTGTGTGTGTGTAAACAGCGATTAAAGAATGGGAACAACCCCTGTTCACAGGTTTTTTACTGCAAGCTTCCATCCTCCCCTTTCTGACGTTTCTTACAAAAAAGTATAGGGACACTAAGTTAATAGACTGATAAATGAGTACCTGATAATTCTCTATCGTTCCTGTTCCGATCATACGACTATTAGAACAGAAAAAATTAAGACTAGGTTTAATGTTCTGAGTTTGGCGAACAATCTTCGACACGTGCACGTCGCTTTATGTTGCGTCGCTCCTTGTGTACTTGGCCGCATTGGCTGAGAACATTTCTTTGAAACTTGCTACTTCAGACCTTGCATCTACTAACACAGCAGTCTTAGACATTACCTGAGGCCGTCAAAGTATGACGTCACTGCTAGCCGATGCGCGAGAACTTAAGGGTAGCATCGCCACCTTTACAATCTCTTATAGTTTCGAGAATTCCTTCGCTCACCGGACGTCCTCTCGTAGTACGGGTGATGTTGATAGAATTGACTTACTCCTAAATTGTTATTATGTTCAGAGTCATTTAAAATTAAGTGCGAATATAAAAGGATTAATATAACATTCGTCCACTGACGTAACTGCGTACCTGCAGCGTTAGAGCGCCATTCGCCTCGGCGAGGGCTTTCATCTCGAAAAAATCTTTCTTTAGCTTCTCTAGCTGTGAATGCAAATTACTGTTCATTTCTTTCAGCCTGCTGCACTTCCGCCGCAACGTCTTAGTTGCCGCGACCAGGGAGCGCATCTTCTTCAAACCGATCGACGTTTGCGACGTCATGGAGCGCCGCACTGGCCTCTTCTGGTGTTCCCCTTGTATAACTGAACTACAGTCCTCCATGTTGTCCTGACTTGATGGAAAATGCAACCACTCGGCCTCTTGTGCAGTTTCAATTGGGTTTTCAGAACTATATACTTCCCCAGGCTCCGCTGATGCTCGCTCTTCTTGAGAAGAATCTGCGTTGGACGTTCCCCTGTTAAGCCGAAAAAATAGCGAAGCATGACAGATATATTGTCCCGCTAAACGCATAAGGGAATACTGCTAACATTATTCTTATCCGTTGTTGTGTTAGACTTCAAGTTTTACTTACAGTATTTTTACTTGTATGGGTGCCAGCGTTGTTTCCCCCTGCGTTCGTTTTAGCCGCTTTTTCCGCGGCATTGGATCTTGCCCACGTGGATCAGGAGAAGCGGGAAATAAGGAAGGCACGGCTGTGGGCTTCAACATCTTCCTTTTCGTCACTGTTCTGTAATCTTCAGCGGTAAAATGCAGGCTGCATACCTTCGACCGGTCGCTGGGCTCCCAGCGATGCTTTCCTGAACCTTCATCAAAGGTAAAGGCGTATACGCATGGCTAGCAAGATTGCAAAATAACAGTCCATAACACCTTTTTTGTAATTAATTTTTCCAAAATGTAACAAGCCAAATGGGGAGGTTAAGAAAAAGCATAGCCACGATTTTATTCTGGGGAAGTACCTGTATACCCATTTAGTGCATTTTCATATTTTCTCGCAGCCTTTGTAAATGTCTTTTTAGATGACTACATTCGTCGATTGATGTTTAGTGATGGTACGTGGTCGAGTCCAGTGGCATACTTGAAGCCCTTTATTCGAAGAGCTCATTGGCTATACAAGGTTTCATAACAAAGCTGAATTTCCTAATGGCTGCTCAGTAACGAAGCGCGACCCAATACGACAGAGCCGAAACCGAGGCGCACTTGAGCGCCTTGGTCTTGGTTTAGAGCGCAAACCTCTAACCTGTACAATGACTCCGCCGTTGACGACGATGACTTCAGTGGTTTTTGTTCTTTTGCATTCTCCAAAACGAATCTTTGTCATGCATGATGTAATCTCAGATGCAGCACGCACATAAATAGAGTATCTGTCGCTGATTATTCCAGGTTCCTCATTTCGGTTTCACCGGCTGGGTCTCTTAACCCTCACAGAGCCGATGGGCTCATTGCACGAAGGACTTCAATTATGTCATTATACCCGACCGCCTGCCAGCCCTATATAGAGTGAACAGTTAATCGCCACATTTCGTTACCGGCGTAACGTTTCTAATTACCTTAAGTAAGCTTATACAGAAACGAACAAAGCTGTATGGGAAGATAGAGGTTTGAGATGAGAAATACATTTGACCAAATTCGGTCGCTAACTTCAGTGACACCCAGTGTTCAAGAGTTGTCCATCGCTAAACACACACACACACACACACACACACACACACACACACACACACACACACACACACACACACACACACACACACACACACAGAGAGACAAACTGTGGAGGCAGCACGTAAATATTTCATATCATTAATTTTTTTATGGATTTCGGCGGCATTTGTTGAGGCAGCCTTCGGGAAGGGTGCTCGAACCCCTCGCAACCCACCGCTACGCATTTTTACATAATTTACAGATTTCGTATATTTACTTTTTTCTTGTGTGCTATATTTAAATTTCTTGGCACTATTTGTGGAGCCTGCCATATTAGCCGCGGTACTTTAAAAAAGCTTTCATGTTTTTTAGCTCAGTGAATTAGCATAACACACGGAAATAAAGTTTACTAAAGCACCCTGGTGCTTCTTGCTAGCTTGCAACTCGTTCTGAATTGAAACGACTCTCAAAAACACAAGACTCACCTTTTCTTCCAATTGCCTCGATCCATTCTTCCCGTATGTCTGTGGCAGGAAACTCGTGAAAACTTACTTTACTTTGTTTGCCTTGTTCCGATTTGCAATATGGCACGCAGCAATACACCATACTTACATTTGAGGTGTCAGCTCATCTAAAAAAAAAAAACTGCACGCGGCCACTATTAGAGCTGACTACTGCAGCTATCTGCCGTCTGCAAGTTTCTGCACACGACCTACTGTGTTTCTGCGTATCTTCTGCAATTTGTGTATGCGTATCGTCTGGAACCATCGTGATTCAGTGTGAACAATGAATGCCTAACAATAGTTTTTTTATCTCGTTGGACTACGTTTTCATTCAAGAAATATTTTCATAATAAATTTTCCTTCATTTGTAGAAAAGTTCCCGTCTGCTTGCCACTGTGACCCTTTGTGTGCTTTTTTTACGGTTCTATTTCTGCTTCAAACGTCCACACGAATGCAGCCAACTCTGACGAGGAATCATATCGCTTTATTTGCCATATTTTACACATTCATACACAATTCATGCACAATAAGAACGATTTGCACTGCCACAGCGATGGCTGAAGCAGACGACAGCGAACAGGTGCTGCCTAGCGCCACGCCGCTCGTAGGTGACGGCCCTAGCGGCAGAAGGTATGAACTAGAACGTGGGCGCTGGAAGAGGTGCTCTCTGGGCAGGTCAGGAGTGTAGTAGGTCATGCCTGGTACAATGGCACGTTGAGGTGGTTTTGTACCATTTTAAGCATTCGTGCTTTATTCTGTTTTTCAGATAGTAACGTGAGTGTTCGTGGCAATAATGCGCCCATTTTTCGCTTTCGCAAGAACCGGATTGCTGGGGCCGTTGCTTGGACAGCAGTCTTGCTCGAATGGTTTCGCTAGGTATTCCACTTCACTAAAGCCAGCTCTAACGACCAAGTAAGCGATCAGGTAGTGAGATAGTTCTGTCAGGCATCACCTAATTAGCCGCATACTTTTTCCAGACCTCTTATGTGTCTAGATGTGCTAGATTATAAAATTCACATTGAAATTGTTGGCGATGGGCCTCAACCGGTTGTCCTACTACCCGGTGCGATTGGTAAGTAGTCGTAGTTGGTTATAATTATTTGGTACTGTAGCAGGAAATTCGTGTTGGGGCACATTAGTGGTCATGAGGTGCTGACGCTGCCCTGCAAAAGGAGTATGGAATGAACAACGCCGATGAATTAAGAAAGGAAAAAAAAAAAACTGCATTTGATATATATTAGAAAGCTATCTTTTTGTCTACGTATGTATAACACTAGTAATATTAGTTGCACATACCAAATACCCCTTCCCCGCCAAAAAAAGGTGCGAACTATTGATTGTTAAAAATCTGAAAATCTGTTTATTTTCTCGCTGATAGGAAGGTATCCTTTCATCTGCTGTAATTTTTCTTAACATTATAATGTATTATTTATTTACACCAATTAAAGCAACTGATATATCCACCTGGGCTTGCTTTCCTTGCATGATCGATCAAATACACATGGCATGTGACCAAGTGTAACTGGGCCCCTCGGTTGTACTTATCCTTCGTCAGTAAGATGTTCTTCAGGAACTTGTTTATCATATGCAGCCTTAATGCAAGATCAGTAGGGGTGAAGCTAATTAAATTGCGAGATAGGACCATGCAAGAGGCATTAAGTTTAAATTCATAAAGCATGCTTCAGGGGCATACACAAGTGTTATTTGAATGCATTCTGCTGTATATTTTTGTATGTATGTTCGAGTCAGAAAGCTTGACGAAAATGCTCCAGAGCGTGTCCTAAAACAGTTTGATGCAGCCGCATATCTTTGAGTTCTGTTGCTGAGGTGTTAATATTGCATGCTGACATACTATCCAAGCATACCAAGGTATGCTATCACGGCAACAGCACCCAGTACTTTGTGGCTGGCACTAGTCAGACTAGTCCAGGGTACATTATGAAGTGTTTGAGTTTAGCTCGCTGACAACTGTACTATTGCCGCAGTCTACTGCGTGACGTATGTACATTTTCCAACTTAGTACATTGAACCGTTTTGATATAAAAAGTATGCTAATGCACTTTTTTTTTTACAGACAGCATACTATGTAGATCATATTACTTTTTCCTTCGTTTGTATTTTTCTCTAGGCTCCTCCCGTACAGACTTTGGGCCTCAACTTGATAAACTGAACCGGCAGCTGTTCACCATAATTGCATGGGATCCTCCAGGTTATGGCTTCAGCCGACCACCAGAGCGAACCTTTCCTTTTGATTTTTACCATAGAGACGCTCGAGTGTTGGCTGAAGTCTTGCACGTAAGTGCACCATTATCCTTAATATATTGTTTTATACAAACTCACTCGTCAAGGCACTTCATAAGTATCCATAGTGCCCACAACAGTGGCCTAACCTATATAACATTGCTAGCAGCCACATGTCAATGGTAGTGAAATGCAAGATGTACTTATGCTCATGTGCATATTCAAAGGCCCCAAGGAGTCACAATTGAAGGACCAAACTTGTGTTTGTTACTTTTTTACTTCAATTTGTAGCCTTGTGTCTGGTGATGCCAAAATTGAATGGTAAATGCTCTAAAATATTGTATAATTAATGCTAGTATTGTTAATGGTGATTAGTATTTGTGTCACTTCAAAACACCTGCCTAAAATTGTAAGAAACTAGTGCCCCACTGCAAGAGAGTTCTTGTGACCATGCGAACTTAAGCTCCAGTGATGCTGAACATACAGCTTTCATACCAGGGGACCCGTACAGTGAAGAATGAAACCATGTGGGTGTTTTGAGCGTGTTCCCCTCAGGGAACAGAAAAGCATTTCTGGCGTAAGCAGCCAAAACCAGTTTGAGAGCGGCCTGACAACAGAGCGAGATAGGTGAAAAACAATAGCCCTTATTGAGTGCCGGTCATGGTTGTGTATGCATTCTGTGAAGGCTCTGTGACGTCAACAGTACTCGTATTTACTGCGATAGCTATTATATGGACACTCTCTGCTGATTTTTGCCTTCACCATAGCCATCATGCCCCATGTATGTATATGTACGTATGTATGTGTATGTGTGTGTGTGTATGTGTATAAAAAAATGCACAAAAAAAAGTTATGCAGAAGAAAAAAAAAAGTTCTGAAGACCCAACTGGGGATTTGAACTTTTCACTTCGCAGCGCGCTGCATTAGACCACTCATCCCCGTGCCATATATGTGCCGGCATATAAACGGCAAGCTACTTACATATACCATTTACCGCTGGCGGTAGGCAGATCTTAGAGCTTGAGTGTGTTTTCCCATCATGCAACACTCCTACATTTTCTTTCAATTTGATAACTGCCCTAGAGATACGCACAAAAAAGTGGCACCTTTGTGTGCTCACTTGTGATGTGGAACAAAAAAGAAAGAAGACACCGTGCACACCTTGCATTCAACACAATCGTATGGCAGAAGACTCAGACGGGTCACTCTATGCACCGTACTTCGAAAGAAAAAAATCACAGCATGTTCATAGAATTAATGATGATTGGTGGGGCGAGGCGTTCGTCAGTTCGTCCGTGCTTCCGTCCGTCCATTCGTTCTTGCTTCCGTTCGTCCATGCGTCCATCCTTGTGACTGTCAGTGTGTCCATCTATCCGCTTGTCTGTCTATTCGTCCGTTTGTCTGCCCCTCTGTCTGTCTGTCCGTCTATCAGTTCGTCTGTCCATCTATAGGTCCGTCCGTCTGTCTATTTAGTGAACACTTCAAGTACCGTTATCTCACATCTTTTCATCATGTATTCATCATATACAAGTACCGCCATCCAGCGGACATTCTAAGGACCGCTGTCTTGGGTATGCACCACCGGTGGTTGCATATGACAACGGGACACACAAGCCACGCCATAAGTAACTTCTCCCCTAAAAGAAATATCTGAGAGTGTTGAGTTATGCATTGTCAACACTTTTATTTAGTTGCTCCAACAAAAAGGTATAACAGCCGTGACAGTTGTTAGTTCATGCTTGTCCTATGTATACCTGCACTTTATTTTCGATCATACTTATAGTTGTGCTTCAGTGGCAAGCTGCAAGTATCAAGTTGTTTGTAGTTCTTCAAGTGACATTATGATTTTTTGCTATCGCATTAATTGCTTCGCCTTTGCGGCAAAGCTGTGACTTTTTCTTGTGGAACATCACATGGGGTGTCTGTCTACGTCATACTAGTGGCAATGTTGGGAGGTGCTGACATATCAGGTGAGCATGCTTAAAGACATCTTAAAGGCAATATTTATTACTTAACCATAGTCAGTCAAAAGTGACCAAACATGCATAACTATTCAATAACACACGCATCTCGAGTTTCCAAATTTGATGTGAGGGTCTTCTAATGCTTGAAAAAGAAGAAAATTGGTGCAAACTTATATGGAAATTCATTTTAGCTCAATCTGTAGAGCTTTTTTTCGAATAAAACAGTACCATTCTTTCTATTCAACGAGTGCCCTTGTGGCAGTATAATAAAGAATAACATGAAGATGGCTTCGTTGCATGACATTGCAGCAGTGGCGTAGCTAGCGGGAGGGGGGGGTCGGAGGGGCTCAAATCACCCTCCGAAATTTTTTGTGGGAACCCTCGCCTCGCTACTTGCCCA